ATGTATATACAGAAGATATATGTTAATAGAAGAACATTAAAGGTTCTGTATTTTTACAGTTAAAAATACTTCGACCATAAACGTTTTATAAAAAATATATTTATTTTTTAAAAATTGTTAATAAGCTATTAACAATAATAATAATTAACAGCTCAGAAATTGTATTCAATATTTAAAAAAATATTGTAGGACATCCAAAGCCCATAAAAGTTAAAATTGAAACAAACTTTAAAAAATGACAAATTCCTGCAAGTACAATTTTACATGATGAATATTTTCTTATTAATGAATATTTATCTCTTAAAAAATATTTTTGCACTATTAAAGGAATAGATCTTATTAATAGACATACTCGAACCTGACAAAGTTTGTCAAAAAACCAGTTGGTTTCTAACATGAATCTTGTAAGTTAGATTCTAAGATGAACGTTGGAGATTATAATGCCTTTTTCCATAAAAATCATTATATATATATATATATATATATATATGATATCTTCTGTATATATATTTTTTGCCTTTATATTTCACAAATACCCTTGAACAAGAGAAACTACATGAACATTATGTATTCGTTCCACGCTAGATGATGTCATAATTTTTTTATTTCAGTACCAAGGACGCCCACTTTGTTATAAAAGATACAATTATAGCCGATATATATATATATATATATATATATATATATATATATATATATATATATATATATATATAACATTAATAAGTTATAACAAAATTTATAATAAAAACTAAACTCACATTCAGACAACGCCCATCGGTCCCATCGTTGTTGAAATTGAGCATTTTTATTTTGTCTAGTCACCTACGATAGAAAATAGTTGTAATAGAAATTTAAACATTTAATTTAAAAGCATAGTGTATATATACATTTTTAAAATGCTATAATATAAATTTAAAATCAATACCACAATTCAATATTGATAGTAGTCATTTATTCTTGTTTATCTATGATAGTAGTAATAATGTAAGTTATATATACAATTAACATTTTTTTAATTTAAAACATACAACAAAAGCATTGTGCTTCTATTTTGGTGGTAGCTCAATATAATAACAATACAAAATTAATTAATATTTTATCATTATGTATATATATTTAACCTACATTAGTTTACTCTACTGTATTCAACTCTTCAATTTATGCATTTATTAGTTGGATCTCTCGGAATTTGCAATTTGTAAAAATCGTATAAAATTAAATAATCTACAATATTTGAAATGAAAATACATTTTTTTAAATCGCAATTTGAACTTAAAAATTGAAACTAGTAAGGTGTATGGCATCGTGCTTTAAGGCAAATTGCTGGAACTTCCCGTACCGTAACAAAATGTTCGAGGAATACTGAATGTTTTCAAATAGATTATTATTAATATTGTAACATTGTCTAATATTTACAAGAATTATATAAACTGAATTGCAAAGTTGAAATTATTTGTTTAAAGTATATTAGAACTATAGTCAGAATTAAAAATAAAATCTGAATTATTTTCGATATACAAAAAAAAATTTTTGAAAAAAAAATGAAGAAAAAAGTTGAAGCAAAATAAGTTTTTTTTCCAAAATCAATTATTTTGTTAAGACAAGCAGAAAGTTCTTTGAATCATTTGAATCGGAGGCTTAGTTCTCTCAAAAACTGCCATTTTTGCACATTTAGCTTCGTATCTTTGAAATGGCTGGGCCTGCCTTCGCCAAAATCTAATAAACACTTATCCCAATCATTACTAATTGAATGTTTTTTAAATCATTCAAATCGGATGCTCCGTTCTCTCAAAAACTCGATTTCTATTTTCTGCACTCTTTGCTCTTTATCTCCGTAACTGCTGGACCTGCCTTTGCCAAAAACTAATCAGCACATCTCCATATCAATAGGAATCGAATGTTTTTTGAACCATTCAAATCGGTTGAAAACGTGACTGGAAATTTGTATCCATACATACATACACACACACATCCATTTTTTCTGAGGTATGCCAAAATGTTCAGAAACCTTCAAAACGTCGAAAAATGTAAAAAATTTCAATTTCGATTTTCGGCTCATTACAATAACTTACCCTACGGGAAGTTGATACAATCTTGTATGAATGTGGTATGCCATAAGCATGTGTGACATTAAATAATCTTAAAAAAACTGACGTCAATTTTGCTGAATTTACTTCATAATTTCGGTTGTCCGGTTCAAACAAACCGGTTTGCAATCAACGGTAACGAAATACTTCAAATTTGCTCATAGACAGGGCGCTAAAAGATGTAAACGATGAAAAACATGTAAACGTATAATAAAAAATTTACAAGAGAAAGGATTTAAAATTTTAAATTTCAAATAAAAGGGCGTTTTTTTAATTAGTGCTATGGTGTATGGTGTGAGAGCACCACATTACATTTACCAGTTTCTCTTATAAACTTCCGTGTCATGTGCTTGAGCTTTCAGTTTCCTTTATTTTCCTTTTCCTTCAGCTGTTACACTATGGCGTGTGTTTTTGTACGAGTTTCAGTACGTAAACTTTTCTTCTCCATTACGAAATTGTGTAAAGATGAAAACATTGTCTATATTTAGACACTGACACACTTTCCTCAGACTGTAAATGAATAATTAATTGTATAATTTAGATAAATTATTAATCGATAAGATAAAATATAGGTCGGTAAAAATCAATCCTGGATAATCTTGTATACTTAAGTAATAAACTAGTCTTATAATACTATAACTAATTGTGTATTTATTAGTAACTTTTAATTTTACAAAATATGACATCTTAATTTAAAAAAATGGAGTTCGGTAGGACGTGTTTCTACAGGTTATAGTTTTTTGAATATTGAAGATATATAGTAATGATTGAATGTGGTATATTATTTAATGTAATACGAATTTACAAAATATAAGTCATATTTCAGTTCATATTTAAAAAGTTATATGAAACTAAAATCCATGCAGGACTCCTGTTTTCAAACACGTTCTGACAAAAATATACAGCATGAGTTATGTTTTTTAAATGTAGATTAGCAATAATTATTAATATATATTAAATTATTTATGTAAAAATATTGTAGAAACAATTTTTATGATTGCATGCAAAATTATCTGGTGGAATTTTTAATACGTATTTTTTTAATCTTTCTGTAATTGTTAAAAACAGTTTATGTCCAAATTTAAATTTTAAACACGTCTATACCATCAATATATTACCAACAGTTGTTGTATAAAAGCATTTGAGTGACCTGACAATAGTAATTTTAAATGATCTCACACTCTGTTAGATTAAATTAGTTAATAAACTTGGCTAGAATCGCCAGGGCTTTGCAAAACCAACTCAGAGGTCTTACAATTAGATAAACACCTATTATCTTTCATTCTGCATAATAAATGTTTATCTTTTGTTACTAAACCATTTGTTATCAAATGCGGTCATAGTTTATCTTGTGGCGCTTCATTTTTTAATGCAATTGATATTTTTCAAGCCAGACAAATTAATGAATAAAATGTGCAAATTTCTGTTATTTATGTAACGTTTTACTCGATGCCAAAATAATAAAAATCAGCACATTTTATATCGGTCTACATGTCTTTCAAGATAAATTCACATAGTGTAAACACAGTCAAGTTAAATTTAAACATAGTTTTGTTTCCTGCGGACTTTGCTATTTATTAAATAAACTTTGATATAGAAAACGTTAAGATAAAGTTTTCTTAGAAACCAGAAATGAAGTAATATCAAGTATAGCTAATCCTATTGGCTACTGGACAAATTGAAACTGAATCATAATAACAAAACTTATACTTAATTGACTTAACAAGATAACTAAATCTATTTACCTCAACTGTATCCACAATTAATTGCTGGTCAATATCTAATATTCTAATCAATACTTGCCAAAATAATAATATAGTAGTAAGCAATAATGTAGGCCAAAACTTCGATTTTTGGATATCTGGTATCTTTAAAACCTGAAGTGGTCAACATCCAATTCTTGTCCAATTCTAATCAATACTTGCTAAAATAATAATGTAGTAATAATCAATTATACTTGTTTATCTATGGTAGTAATCAATAATGTAGACCAAAACTTAGATTTTTGGATATCTGGTATCTTTAAACCCTAAAGAGGTCAATATCCAATTCTCGTCCAATTCTAATCAATATTTGCCAAAATAATAATGTAGTAGTAATCAATTATACTTGTTTATCTACGGTAGTAATCAATAATGTAGACCAAAACTTAGATTTTTGGATATCTGGTATCTTTAAATCCTAAAAATTTTAAAACCGTTAAAAAAATAAATGGAAACTTGATTACAGTATTTTTACTGCTATTAAAGCTTATTACTACTAGTTTGTTGATTTTAAAGTACTCAAACATATTACTATAATTGATAATCTTGAAAATTAACACAGCCATCTTTAATATAATATTCTTGTTTTGTCAAATGTATCATATTTGTGCAATATCAGTTCTTTAAGTAAACCTTGATACAATTATTCTTTGGAACAACTCATTAACTCAAATAGCAATATTTAAGCAATATATTAATCTTGAAAGATTTAAAAAAAAAACAGATAATTATGACATTTAACTTCCTGTTAAAATCTGCACCGAATGCAATTTAGTTTTTTTATGCCGGTAATATTACACTTTAAATTATGTACCACGGAAGATTAATTTATTAAATGGCTTAAAAAAAGAAAATACAGGTCATTTAATTACTTTTCACATTTAATAACTACTTATATTATGTTGATTTTTCACTCACACGTAAAATTTGTTTGATCAGCTGTCAAAATATTTAAGGAATCTTATATGGACTGCTTCAGCGTGAAGATAGCTACACAAATAAGCAAGTCCACCAACTTTCCATCAAAAGATATGAATTTTTCATCATTTAAAATAACTATAATTGTCTTTAAAATAGCTATACTCTTCTTTTATCTATGGCTATAATAATCTATTACTATTTACAATTTTTTCTTTTTTTCTTCCAGCTATGCGGTCTCGCAGTGCTCGCCGTTGGCGTGGTCTTCAAATTGAAGTTCTCAGAGATCCAGCAAATGCTCCAGGACTTAAACGTCCAGGCCGCACCAATACTCTTCATCACCGTTGGAAGCATAGTCTTCATAATCGCCTTCTTCGGGTGCTGCGGAGCGATTAGGGAAAGTCATTGTATGACAGTCACTGTAAGTAGAGAAAAATGATAATATATATATATATATATATATGATAACTTCTATATTTATGAAGAAGCTATTTAGATTAGATTAGAAGTTTTTTATAAGTGTTGACAAAGAATCAACTGTACTTTAAAGAGTGTATATATGTATATATATACACATATATATATATATATATATATATATATACGAGTATATATATATATATATATATATATCATACATACGATTCTCTTAGAACTCTAAATATACAAATACATAATTACAATAATAAATGCACTGTTCCATACCAGACCACATGATCTCCACATTTGTCTAAATAATTTTCATCATCATTCATCCTGTATCTGTTGCTTCATTAAGTTCAACAAAGTTGGCACAATGTCTAAATGTGTAATTATTTCACAACACCATTATCATCTTTTGTAAAAAATATTTCAAATTATCATGTTCTCCATAGTACGCAGTCTTCTTAATCGTTTTGCTGATCGTCCAAGTCGTGATCGCCGTCTGTGTCTTCGTCTATGTCGATGACATCAACAAGATTCTGCAGAAGACCCTCCAGACCACCTTCGACCACAGGGATCAACCTGCTAATATGGAAATCATTGATGGATTACAAAGACAGGTAATGATAATGGAAAATAATAATCATATAGTTTTTAGTGTCTTTTGCTCGAACAATGTCTTAAGGATCTTATACAACAAGAGTCACAATTTGTTTATTTCCAATCCCCAGTTCGAATGCTGCGGTGTCAACGGCAAAACCGACTACCAGCTCAATGTGATTGCCAATTTGCCCCAGAGTTGCTGTCCAGCTGGAGATGCTGCCTGCACATTTGCCAACAGCTATAACCATGGATGCAAAACCATTCTGTCTGACACCGTGAAAGGAGGAAGCCAAACCATTGGAATTGTTGCTCTGATCATTGCCGGAGTTGAGGTAATAAAAAATACAACAATGAGTTTTGAGTATGGAAAGTAATTATTATAAAACTAGCAGGCCGCCGCCTTTGATACAGAAACTTGAATGTCAAATTAAATGCAGTCTTACCTTTGTATCAGACGTTTCTTACACAAAACCTTATGAAAACATTTAACACATAGACAACTATTGAGTTTAAACTATTTTAGTATTCATTTTAATAACTTACAGTAAAGTAATATGCTAATAAAGAAACTTGAACTTTTTTCGCATGCTTTGTGTTTGATCTCAACATTGAGTACCAACCACAAATTGAAGCTTGTTTCAAATTTGCAACTATTTTACAATAGTATAAACTTGATCTGTATTTTTCAATACATGTTTATGAATACACCATTCATAAATAAATATGCATAATAAATAAATAAATAGATATAATCAATTATTTACTGGTGGTATAATTGTATATTTTAAATGTTTGATGCTTAATTGCGCTATAACTTATAGTAAGTACCAACTAAGTACTTCGCATGAACTTATTTTAAATTCACACAGATTTATTATGATGGAATTTTTGAGTATGAAAAAAAATTGATAAATATACTAGTTTGTTGTCAGAATAAACTTGTGTATTATAAGTTGGAAACTGTTTTCTAATTTAAAATTTTTTTTTCCAGCTTCTGGGAGCCATATTTGCCCTGTGTCTTGCAAATTCCATCCGCAACGAAGATAGGAGGTCTGCCTTTTAAGCATCTTTATTCTTTATTAATGATACTAATAAACAAACAATACTGTCCAACAGATTAATTCATATTAAAACATCATCTTTACTATTTGCTCGATTCGAACTATTAAAATTGTATTTGACTATGAATAATCTACTTGAGATCTTGTTTTAATATAATTAATTACGATATAATAATGCAATAATATTTACTAATTTTTCATAATGATTCTTTGCTCTGTCCATGAATGTGCCTGTTGTAACAAAATGCTTAAATTGTACTAACATTTTAACTTGTATTAGCCTACTGACTGCATTTATTTATTGCGTTTCTTGTAAATTCAAACTTTTGTATGTATTTTTGTACAAAATGAAATAATTTAATATAATATTCAATATACATACTCTAAAAGAAAATTGAAAAAGCATTGTTTAAATATGTTTTAAATATTGACTTCTTGGGCTAATATGGGTTAATGAAATAAATAATAATTGAAGCATGTGACATTTTCGCCTTTGCAAACAATAAATCACCGAAAAGTATTATAAAAAAAATATTTGAGAAATAGATAATATATTTTCTAAATTATTTAATATATTTGCATGCTGAAATTATAAAATATTGATAAGTTATTGTTATCGTTGTTAGATAGAAATGTATATATATATATATATATATATATATATATATATATTGTAGACATACAACTAACACTTGATGAAAATACAGAAATTTAACAAAATTGTTCATAAAAAATTTACAAGTAGAAAAATATTTGTCATTTATAACATTTAACAGAATTATTTTTGTCTAAAAATGGAATTATTTTTTATCTAATAATGATAATGATGACTCAAATTTATTCAATAAAGTAGTTTACTTGATACAAAATATATAATGTGAAATAAATTCGTCCATTATATACTGAATAAAAAATTAAGTGTCTTGATGTTGTTAATAATATTAAAAATATAATTATTAATATTAAACTATTCATATATATATAATGTAGAATGTGTTATAGAAATTTTGAACTGTTATTCTCAGGTTGTATTTAAAAAAATAATAATAATTAAAATTGAAGGTTACATATAAAAAAACATTTTTGCATTAATCATTTTGCTTCATAATATGGTAAGAAGTAATAAACTAATTATTTGGATTAAGGGAAATTGAAATAACAAAATTATGGAAGGAATAGAGATTTACATAGACATAGCGTGATATTGATCGAAATATATATATATATATATATATACATTAGGGTGGTCCTTAAAATGGTCATTTTCGAATTTCCTTGCTCCCAGGGGCTCAAATGGTTCCAAATAGATAAAAAACAATTCTCTGAAAATTTTAGCTCTTAATATTAACGTTTAGATAGAGCGCAATTCAATCAAAGTTTTGTATGGAAATAGCATAAAATTTTTTTCAAAAATTTTAAAAGTGTTTTTTAAATGTAATTTAGCGAACAAATGAATGAATAAAACTCATTCATTTGTCGCTAAGTTATACTTAAAACATTTTTTTTTAATTTTCAAAAATTTTTCCATGCTCTTTCCATACAAACTTTGATTGAATTGCGCTCTATCTAAACGTTAATATTAAGAGCTAAAACTTTCAGAGAATTGTTTTTTATCTATTTGGAACCATTTGAGCCCCTGGGAGCAAGGAAATTCGAAAATGACTATTTTAAGGACCACCCTAATATACATATATATATATATATATATATATATATATATATATATATGTATATATATACGTGATATTTACATTGCAAGCTAATTTTCAAAATTATATAATTTTGATTCTATTTAAGACTATTTCTTCATACCTTTGTCATTTTGTTTTTAAATGATTAAATTTTCACAGAAATCAAAATTTTGCAGTAATTAATAATAAATTGTTATTGTTTTAAGAAATTTAAATGTTTGAAAGCATTGAATTTGTTTTAGTAGATTTGTGATTTTAGATGTTGTTTTTATTTTTACTTTCTTTTCAAGTTTTCATAATTTTTTTCAACCAAGATAAATAAGGCCTTCTCATAAGTTTCAAAAGATCTTCAATATTGTCACACCAAAAATATTTTGTTGATGGATAAAATCCAGTATGAACCATACTACATATAATGGAATATAATATTAATAATAATAATAAATATATTACTATTTGCTCATATTTAAATTAGCATGTAAGTTTTACCAGTGAAACATTTACTAAAATAAACAAGTAATTAAAAAATTGTTATTTGCAGGTACGCATAAGATCTACTTCAATACTGTGTGTGAATATGTAATTCGTTTTTGCAAAATATCTATTATTATGCAAAAACAATCAACAATTATACCTTCAAATTTGAAAATAATAATTCGATGTATGTATACAAAAGCCAAATTTTACTAAAGGCTTACTAATTTAAGAAATATTATATAATTGAGAACATTTTTATGAACTATTTAAACGTTAGGAATTATTTGGAGTGTTGTCAAATGCTTTTAAATGTATTAATATTTACAATTTGATTATTCTCAAATAACAAATATTTTTAATATTTTTGTAATGTTATTTTATATATTATCGAAGTAAACACAAAGACAAAAAATATATCTACACATGTATGTATATATATATATATATATATATATATATATATATATACAAATGTATACACAAACACAAATTAGATATTCTATGTATGTTAATGTTTAAAGAAATGTGTAATAATCGGTACAAAAATAAAATTTATAAATTTATCTGAAAAGTTGTTTTATATCAAAGTAATAGTAAGTATAAACTTTATAATATGCATAATTAAACACATATATTAATAGTCTTCAATACTTTATTAACAATATAAAATTTTAGAGATCATGAGCAATTCACTATTTTTCAATAACCAAAAAATAAATATGTACTTACGTATCTACAATAATACTTAACATTAGTATAAGTTATACTAATATACATCATAAATAAATATTAAAACTGGTGATTTATCAGATACGATGTATCATTGTTTTTCTTTGTAGGATAAATACAAAATAAGGACAGTTGAATAATTGATAGAAGACATCCTAGAAAGTTAGGTATCTGAAAAGATAAAACATATATAATATAAAGTAATTATTATTTGTTTGATCATTTTGCAATCAGTTTTGTACTTGTATGAAGGTGTCTTGAATAAGTATGCCATATATAAACCATTGACCGGAAACAAGAAAGGATGCTAAAATTATTGGAAAAGGCAAACTTTCTGCACTTTTAACTCGAATAACATGAAATAACATTGTTAGAGGCGCCCCAAAAAATGTTACAGTCACACAACAACACATAATACCTGCAAATGGAAAATGTTAAACTTATTAATAAAAACTTGGTTATATATAAGTATACATATAATAGTATTTACACCTACCCATAACTTTAACAACTTTTTCAGCATTTTTTTCATATTCAGCATAAACTAATGTTGTTACAATTAACAACAAGGTTGCTAAGAATTGACGTAGGACTGAAGTTTTATTTATAGTGTAAACATAGAATGTTATAATATAAGCCAGTTGTAATGTGGCTCCTATAGTATTGACTAATATCACCGATTGTTCTTTTGTTAAAAATGCATAACGCAACCATAAACTACATCTACAATTTCATAAAACCTAATTTTTAGTATTTTGCTATAACAAACACTAAACAACAGTATAGTTATATATTGTTAGTAACACATATAAGTGTATCTTAATTTAGGTAAATATTGGTTCAAACTTACGATAGAAAGCCACAGATGAAAGGAAATACTGAAGTATCACCTGTGCTACCTTTCTGCACAATCTTTTGGCATATTAAACTAAAAACAAAAATGACCATTTTTAGAATCATGTGATCATAAATAAAAATAATAATAGTTGGTTTGTGCTTACATTCCTGTTAAAAACTGTAATACTGTAGTAATCACAGCCGTTGCAGCTATAAGATCTTTCCAATATTCTAGTGACATATTTCATATATACTGTATGTCAAAAATTTAAAAAATATTAGCCATTATTTTGCAATATTTTGAAAAAATTCTAATTTTTACAAAATACCATCACAACATTAGCAATTTAATTTAAAGCAGGCCATATAAATAGGAGAAAGCAGACTGTAATATTTAAGGTTATGATTATAAGTTTGATTTATAATATTTTTATCGATTCGTCAATTTTTTATTGAGTTGTATATTAAATATATAAATAGAGTGTTTAAGTTACGTAAGTTATGGAAGACTTTGATGTATATATAAACTAATTATTGCTTATTTTAAATTCCAACGTGTAACGAAACATTTTACGATTGACATTTCGACAGTTTAAAGTAAAGGACATTGTGCAATATGGAGATTGGTAGCACTGTCGCCAACTATCAGCCAGGAATAAAAAAATGGCGGGAAAAGGTTACACTTTGAAATTAACATTGTCAATAACGAAATTATAAATCTTCTATTCAAATCTTACAAATCAAAATCAAATCAATGTTGCATTTTTCAATAAATGTATTATTTCATTTTGTATATATAAAAAATATGTCATTTTTTAAAAACTTCATAAAAATTACACTTGATATAAACGTCTTGTATAAAAATTTTAATACTTATACTTCTAACTTATAAACTAAATACATTCTTAAACTTAAGTATTTATAATTTATTCGCACATATACTTTACAAAATGGTTATATGATCAATAATCTATTTTTTATTTCATATTAAGTACTTTGCCATCAAAAGACTAAATAGATTGAGACAAAGAAAAAAACTTACGCTTTCACATTATCATCAGGCTGCGCACTTATTGTTTTCATTATCATTAAGTACTTAAGGCCTTATATTTTATAAGTAACGCTTATTGAGTACTTTTTAATATTTGTACCTTATTTCTTAATACTAAATTTCATTTAAGTGAAGTTCAGTCCCTAAAAATCAATCAGTTTGTCTTCGAAGACAGATCTAATTATGTACATGGACAAAATAAAAGATTTTGATGTAAAATAATATTATAAAAGTAAATCAGATATTTTTGTCTTGATATGTAAGTAGATGTACTGTCTTTTTATCAGCTTATTTCCAGTCAGTGAAATTTTTTACCGCTAAGCCAATCAATTATATAATTAGTTTTTATTTAATCGAGAACCATGAGATTCTTCATTAAACCAATGTGAAATTCATGATCCTGAGATTCAAGGATAGAAATGCAAATTCTGGAGTATCACGAATGAATCAATGTTCGTATACAAATCAGAAACAAAAAAAGTAGTTTGCTCTTTAGTAACAAAGTAGTAAGTAAAATAATACATATTTTTCCCTAAAATATAAAATATATTTCTAAAATCCTCCGGCAGTAAACTTGGCAGATTTATCCATGGCTAAACTTTATCTATAGTATCTACATCAGAAAATCGTCTCGCTGAGACTTCTGTCCTGGTCCTTCCTGATCCAGGTTTATACGAAACTGGCGGCACTTTAGCCAAGCTTTTCAGTTTTCCCGATAATTGGCACACACAAAACAATCCTGCTCCCACAACGAGTCCACTAACCAAGGCTGCGCCCGCCGAATATACCAGCAGCAACCTCACTGAATCTATCAGTACATCTAAACATCCCCTCTGGTACACCGAGGCACAAGAAGATCCAAACGGTGTAGAAATATGCTCTCCACCAGGCGCAGCGGAGCAGCAGGACCAGGAAACTCCCCGTCCGGATCTTCTGTAATCGGCAGGTCCATCTAAGCCGCAGCAGCGTCGTTCGTTTTGGACGCTTTCCCAAAATTTATCGTGACGGACGTCGCCTAATTGGGCCTGGTTAAAAGATATTTCTATATGTTCCGTGGAGCGGTCGCCGACGGTGTGGCGGAAGGCTAAAGAGACTCCACAGGTTGCAAACAGGGCACCGGCGAGGAAGATCAGCATCCATGTCAACTGGGAAAATATCACTAGATTTTAACAAGCCATATTCTCCAGAAATAATAATCCAAATGTGCCAAGCGTGATTTTCATTATTAGTGCGTGATGAGAATAAAGTACATGATAACATCTAAGTCACTACACCAGATTTAATTTGAGAAGCCATGCGGATGTTTTTGTGATGGTTTAGATGACAATGAAAAACTACGATTATACTAAATACGATCTAAAATTAACGAGAACTAGACTATATATTTCCTAAAAGCAACGAACAGAATAGTGCGTTGTATAGACCAGGAGTTTGTCCTGGTATGTTCAACTCAGTTTCGCTATAAGTTAATATTATCTACCATGCAGCTATTAAAACTCACCATATTCAATTTGCTAATTTTCCTCTTGCTGGTGGCCCCCCATCCGTACCAGGCGAAGAAAATTGCGGCTACACCGCAACAGCAAAGTGCGGCCATCGGCGACCATGCCGAGGAATGTAGAACCAGGCCATGGGACAAGGAGTAGACGTCCAGGAGAAGGTAACCTGCGCATAGGGTTATGCCGACTCCCAGAAGCTAAATAAAGAACAAAAGTATATAAATAAAGATGTACTGCTTTTCTTCTCTGTCAGATATATTGATACATGAATGAAGATATCATTTCGTATTTATTTTTAGCAACACAAAGATAATATTGTGGGCTTATTAATGGTTTTTGGATGTAGCCAGATGTTACAGTGCTATGAAACAGATCTCTCTCTATATATTTTAGTTGGAGTATATCTTGTTGCATTTTAATGTTTGATTTTAGGCCGCACTTTCACAATCGGGAACGAATCGGAAATTATAGTAAATAAAATATGTTTAAGCAGATAAATTCAATGTATAAATGCTAAATGTGAAACTATTAACGCAAAACTTGTGCAAAAATAATATATATTTAAATAAATAAACATGTGTATATATATACACATATATAACTAGGCAATGTGTCATTTATCTTCTCAAAGTAACAAGAAACCTGCCAGCATATTTAAACAATGATGAACTTTCCGAGAAATATTTTAGTCAGATAACAATTATGTGTCATATATGATGTGATATCGGAATCCTGAATTATTTTCACACACAAATAAGAAACTTGATACCTTATTTAGACTAAAATTAAGTCACATTTATTGATTGTTATTAAAAGACAAGATAGTCTTCTTATCTCCACAGTGAGTTGTAGGAGAAATGAATGCTTGACCAAGACGGATACCCACTTTGCAACATAAAATTTTAATTAAATACTATACATATGATTTGTAAAAATTCAAATAACTAACATTATATGAAAGCAATTTGATTTAGTATATTTTAATTGATTATATTAGAATGATCGCGTAATTTATAAATTAGACTTCTTATATATTTAATTAAATAACCGAGTAATCTAATAAAACACAATCAATTTAAAATTATTGATATAAACCCGTATTATCAGCCCACATCGTTTAATTTTTATTTCAAGTTCATTAATATAATTATTTAATTAATTAAATTTTATAATATATATATATATATATATATATATATATATATTAGGTTGTCAAATATCTCCCTTCCGCCTTTTTGTATTATAAACCAAGAGCAAAAAAGCGGAAGGAAGATATTTGACAGCCTAATATATATATATATATATATATATATATATTTGTATATTATTATTTATAACGATTATTATTGTAAAATCTGGTTAATCATTAGTATGCAAAATCAAAATTTATCACTGGGGCACAAAGATGATATCTAAAAATTAAATGATATATTTAACACAAAATTCCAACTATTTTAGTAAAATTAATATTTAAACTTTTCGTAAGGCAATTTCTGGAACTTCCCGTAACTCAACAAAATATTTGAGGAATATTAAATATTTTCAAATAGATTATTATAAATACGGTAAAATTGTCTAATTATAGTTTTGGAAATTTTAAATTTTGAAATTAAAAAAAATCCAAAAGCCAACACAAGCAGAAAGTGTATTGAATCATTCAAATCGGATGCTTAGTTCTCTCAAAAACTGCCATTTTTTGCACATTTACCCACATATCTTCGAAATGACTAGACCCGCCTTCACCAAAAACTAATCTGCACATGGGAATCAATTACGATTTTTGAACTATTACAATAACTTAAACTTAATACCAGAAATATAAATTACTTTATATGGAATGCAGTGTAAATATTATTATTCGTTGAAATAACACACTGCATATGTATATGTGTATGAAAAATATTTTATTACAATGTTGTTATTATTAAGTCTACAATATTATTTTTACATGAATAAAAATCAAATATTTTATTATTGCTGGAATATTTCTCTTCAAAAATAATTATAATAATGATAACGATAAGAATAATAATAATTCTTAAGTTTTCTGTTATTACTTTGACCAACACTGCAAAAACATGAGTCATCGGAAAAATATTTAATTTTACTATAATTATATCGCTTTAGCCGACATTAGTTTCATCATCTGTTTATTATACCACATTTATTTCAGAACAGTATGTATAACTATGTTAACATATGAAGAATATAAAAATAATTATTGTAAGAAGTTAATATTATTCTAATAAATATATAATTAAAAATGTACTTTTATATTATCTCAGCATTGCAAAACTTTAAGATATAACATACTAAAATTACAAATTAAGGGGCGTCCATTAACCACGAGAGGGGTGTTTGACAAAAAATCATAAAACATCACGTGGGGGAGGGAGGTGGAGTAAGATATAACGTGTGTTTATTTTCCACCTGAATTTTTTTCAAAAAATCCAAACATTTTCAGAAAAAAATAAAAAAAATTACAATTTTTTCTCGTAACTAAAAATACACGTGCTGTTTGGTAGGCGAGGGGTATAATTTTGAATATCATGTATCATCATGGAGGAGTGGAGATCCAAAAACTCTTAAAAAATCAATCACGTGATTAAGGGACGCCCCCTTAGTAGTGCGTGTAATGGTGTGTCCTGGAGAGCTCATTGAAATCAATAATACCCATGTGCAAGCAATATAATCAAGATATGTACAAAGACTGTTGAAATAGTTTACAGATGAAAATTTTATTTTTAATTTTTTATTAAATCTTTATTTTTTAATTTTATTAGAAAACCATCAATTTTATTATTTATCATTATAATAATAATAAAATTGTAATAATCGTTATAATGATATAAGACATTTTGAAGCATAATCAGATTGCAATTATAGAACAAAAAGGTCATTTCATTGAATATCTCCATTCATGTACTAAAAGAGCAGAATTTTGTTCATTAACGAAAAGGGGGTTTAAAAAGATAAATTAAAAAGATTCAGCAAATTTTCTGAGGTCACTATTCTTATCTTTATGTAAAATAAAAAGATTTTTGGTATTGAAAGTATGGTTCAAATTAATGATATGTTTCGAAAACATAGTCTTACATTGATTTGGATTTTTTGAATCCCTAAATAGACTGATTCATTCTCCTGTAAATATATTGAAAATACGCTCAACAGGAGTTATAGACTTCAAGGAAACGAAAAGGGAGTTGAAAGTATTGTCAAAATTAGAAACTAACAAGAAAACCTTCATTTAAAAGCATTTTTTTTTTGAGAAAAAGTGAGAAACTATCTAAATATGGCAAAGAAAAACCTCCTTTGTATTTATTTAAAAAAGGTGGATCTGAATTAGGCAAAAGAGAACTTTTTGAAACATTAACATTGATATATTTGTCAGACAGAGGAATGTTAAAAAAACTTATTTTTTAGAAAATTTAACCTGTTTATAATTACATTGTTAATTAAATGTAATGGGTTAGAATTAACAAAGAACTGAAAGTCTCAACGTCGAATAAAAAATCTAAATCCTATATATATATATATATATCTCATTTATCTGACATGTGACAAAGTGTCTAACAGATTTATTATCTTTAACAAATATTTGCGGAGAGTTTTAAACGGATTTTCGAAGTAGGTGTGTATTTTAGTACATATATTATTTACTTTGTTCAATTGCTCTATTTAGAGTTACTTCCAAGATAATTAGTTTATAAACACAGTCATATAAGTTTAGTAATTAGAATGACATATTTTGAGAAAGTAATTGATATTACCAATATTTTTAGAAATAATTCTTCAAATCTTTGACTCTTGTTGCTGAATGATGACATACCGCGTCGAAACGTATAAATTAATAGGTTATTATTTATTGTTATTTTATTTCGACGATTAGCTGCAAATTAACATTCTAGAATATATATTTATTAAATATTAACTTGTAAATTTATGATAAAATTAACACATTAATTTAGCTTGGTATTATTTAGCAATTTTGATTCATTGATGAAACTGCGTTCTATATTTATATCGATCCAAACATTGTATATATATATATATATATATATATATATATATATAAGAGGGGTTGATATTGCAGACAGCATCCCCTATTTTGGGCAAATATTACTCATCCATGTGTATATGTATATATCCATGTACAATGTATATATGATATATACATTAGTACAATTAATGCACATTTTGTATTAGTATCTATATTTATCTTATTTCAATATTTGTCACTGGTTTTTCTTAAATGTCTTAGAAATTGGTGAGTGATGAGACTATCTTATGTTGTCTCTATAATATCTGTAATATTTTCCAACTTTGTGTATCTTTTATATCTACAAATTAAACAGTTTGGTAAATTTCTAAGTTAGAATTGGATTAAAAACGTTTAAAGTAGGCCAGTAGAGGCAGTGTTACTACAATCTATTTTCAGTCTACTTCAACCGATATATATGTCTACTTTTGCAGTATTTATAACTATTTATATACCCATACGAATGAGATATCTGATACAGATATATCATTTATATATATATATATATATATATATATAATGGATTTATAAAAGTCCCATTTTATAATTTTCAACTCCTTGTCATGGTTCAAAGAATTGACCAGAAGAATTAATATTAGTATCTGAACTTGTGAGTAAATTGCACTATTATGGTATAAATATTAAAACAATTATATTTATTATTTATGGATGAAATTTTATTAAGATTATCAATTATTATCAATTCGAGTTTCTTTATTCAAATTTCTATATTCTATGTTTTTCTATCTTCATCATCTTATCAAAGGATTGAGAAAATAAAATATATTTGTTTAAAGAAAATATTATCTTAAAATCTTACGTCAAACAAGTAGAAAGATAAGAGAACAATATTATATACATGGTTATATGTAAAAATAAAAACATTTGAATATTTTAATATGAATATATATATATATATATATATATATGTGTGGGTGTGTGTATGTTTGTATGTGTGTATGTTTATAACCTTGTTCAGCTTCCGTGTTAAAACAATGAAATTAAATTCAATAAATCATACAAATGTATAATAAAGAACTATAATTATAAAATTAAATTGTTTACTCATACATTAAATTATTTTATGGCAATTTACTTATTATATCGATCTATACACACACACCATATGATTTGGTATTCCGTGTATGATTTGGTACT